ACCAAAATCAGTACACAGAAATCAGGAGGCATTCTAATACGCCACAACAATCAAATTGAGAACAAATTAAAGACTCAATATCTTCACCATAAAACCAAAGAAATTCAGGAATACCTAGCGGAGGTATACTTAACCACAGGAGCGTAAAAGAACCTCTATACAGGCGAAAACTTATGAAACACGGAGGAAGAAATAGGCAGAGGATGTAAACAGATAGAAATCCATTCCATGCTCATGGATCGGCAGACTCAACATCATTAAAATGTCTATACTACCCAAAGTGATCTACAGATTCAATGCAATACCTATTAAATCCCATCAGCATTCTTCACAGATAATAGAAAAAAATAATTTACATTGTATGGAACCAAAAAGACCCGAATATCAGAGCAATTCTAGGCAACAAAAACAAATGGGAGGCATTAATATGCCAGATATCAACTATACTACAAGCTGTAGTAATTAAACAATATGGTATTGGCACAAAAATAGGAATATTGACCAGTGGAACAGCTCTGAGAATCCTGATATAAAACCATCCTCATATAGCCATCTAATCTTGACAAAGCAGACAAAACATACTGTGCTGGGAAAATAATCCTTTTCAATAAATGGTGCTGGGAAAACTGGATACCACATGTAGAAGGCTAAAACAGGACCCACACCTTTCACCTCTCACAAAAATCAACTCACGCTGGATAACAGACTTAAACCTAAGGTATGAAACTATAGAATTCTAGAGTAAAATGTTGGAAACACTCTCCTAGACATCGGGCCTAGGCAAAGAGTTTATGAAGAAGATCCCAAAGACAATCACAGCAGCAACAAAAATAATAAATGGGGACATGATTAAACTACAAAGCTTCTGCACAGCCAAGAAATAGTCATGAAAGTAAACAGACAACCTCAGCTTAGTTTTGCAGGGAATAATATTCTAGGCTGGACATTGTTTTGTTTCAAAAGAGTGAGAATGGGGCCCCAGTCTCTCCTTGCTTGTAAAGTCTTATTAGAGAAGTCTGATGTTATTCGAATTGGCTTTTCCTTGTATGTTACTTGCTTCTTTTGTCTTACAGCTTTAGAAGGGCCTCTTTAGTTGATACTTTGGTCAGTCTGATGACTGCATGTTGTGACGTCTTCCTGTTTGCAATGAATCTCCCAGGGGTCCTCTGAGCTTCTTGAACTTGTATATCGAGATTTTGAGCAAGGCCTGGGAAATCTTCCTCTATTATATCTTCAAACAGCTTGTCCAACCCTTGAGTGTTATCTTCTTCCCCTTCTGGTAACCCTATGACCCTTCACTTAGTTTTCACATAATCCACATCTTGTAGGCTTTGCTTCTTTCTCTTGTTTTCTCTGTGCTCTAATTTCTTGTGACTTATTTATTTATATCTGGAGGTGGGTTACTTCAAGCTCGAGATTCTTTCTCTGTTGAATCTACCCCTGTCTTAGACCTTCCACGATTGTAGTTCCTTGAATTGATTCTTCCATTTTCAGGAGTAGTTAAACGTTTTCTCATGGGTTCCATTGTCTTTTTCAGATTGGAGCATTGTGTGGTTTCTTGTGTTGTATTTGAGTTTGTTTGCAGCTGTGAAGTTTTTATTGATCAGCAGAAGAAATTCCCTATTCTGTCATTTGGTTGCCCTGATTTGGTGGCCATTCAGGGCTCAGCCTCCCTCTTTGGGGTGATTTCCGTTTGTTCTCAATCTGATTCCTTCACGATTTCTTCCCCATATCCGAATTCAGTGTTGTTTCTTTAGGTTTTGTTTGGTTATTCACACGCCCTTTTAGTTTCTTGAGCGGAAGGGTGTTCTGTGGGTTGAGATTCGTCCCACTTCCCTGTCCTGATAAGGGTGGTGCAGGATGCTCCCCTGGTCAGTGTTGCTCTTTGGGTTTGAGAACCCTATCTGTTTGTTTATTCCCTTTATCAACTCCTGTTCCTGTAGAAGAACTCTCAGTGCCTCCGGTGTAGGTTGGGGCCCCTGGACCTGCCAGTTTGTTCCTTTCTCCCTTCCATGAGGCTATCTAGGAAGATTCTTGGGCCGAGCTGGGTTGGTAAGCCTGGCCCCCCTCAGGCAACCCATGTCTTTTACAGGGTCAAAGTTCCTGTTCTCTGCTTCCAGGCAACAGCTTTCAGTCCGGGCTGAAGCCCGCCTCCACAAGCCTTGGAATGCCCCATCCAGTAGATCTGCCTGTGGGAATGGACTGTTCTGAACTTGCAGTCTGGATGGCCTGGCCTCTTCCACCCGCCCCAACTCATGCAGCTAACTCGCTCTCGCTAGGCCAGATACACGCATCTCTCTCCTGGCTGTGCTACCTGCAGGGAGGTTCCCTACACGGGAACGCCACCTGGGCTGGGTGCAGGGCCTCCCTTTGGGGGGAGGGTTGCCCTCTAGGATGCTGATCTGCCCCTGAAGGCACACACACCGCAGTAGGCTGTTCACAAATATCCCTTCTGTGCCCCAGGCAATGCGAGGCCTCCGTGCACGGGATGTGGTCTGCAGGTCTGACCTCTGGGCCCCAGAGTTCAAACTGTATCCCCACCAGGGAGAGCAGTGCCAGTCCCAATTCACCCACAGGGAGCCCAAGCTGCGTCTATGTCTCCCAACCTCAGAGTCTGCCCCGTTCTCCTGGGATCACCGTGCCAGCAGCACCTGGGAGGGCTGGCAGGTAGGGATCTCACAGTCTGAGTTCCCCTTAGTCAGCTGTAGGGCCCCAAAAGGGAAGGTCCCGTTCCCTGTAGGTGCCTCCGGCTGGCGGCTCAAGTCTGTGCACACAGAAGTGCCCCGAGGGAGTTGGGAGCCCCGTGCCGCCTCCGCCACTGGCTTACCACTCACTGGCAGCAGCCGTGCTGGGCTGGTGTCCGCAGGTCTCTCCACTCGCTGGGGAGCCCACCAGCAGTCCGGGATGCAGGGGAGGGGAAACGACCGATACTTCCCGCTGGTCTCCGGGCTGCTCCGGCGGTCCCAGCTTCCAGTTCTCCTCCGTGACCTCCTCCCGTGGAGTCTCCCGTGGTCTCAGGTACTCCTCCTTCCGACCCTCATCCGATGTAGGCTTGTCTTCTTGCTTCTTTCCTCTGATTTCTGCTAGAATCTATCTTTTCTGCAGAGACACTCTGTCTGGCAGTATTTCTCATCTGCCATCTTTTTTCGGCTCCAAATTAAACATTTTTGTTAGTGGAGTCTATGTATACTCCAAGAGAAAAATACTCTGAGATGCTAATCAGAGTCATTATCAGGAACTATTTTCCAGTTAACAAGAAATATGGCAAGGATATTCTTTATGAGTAGTAGTGCCAGACTAAATTGTAGGTTCCTTAACCAATACCAAATGTCCTCTTTTCAATACATTATCTCTTTTCATAGACCGCCCCCCCCAATCTACATCTACATGTATTTACTTGGCCTTCAGTATCTTGAACATTAAATTTCTCAATAACTTTTGCATCCTCAGTCCTGACTACAAATACCCAGAAAGAGGTAAGGGAGAAAAAGGGACACATTATATTATACTTGACTAATCGCGAGTGACTAGGATAGGATAGCCTAAATTGTCTTGACTAGATGGATAATTTCTGTTACTTAGTTGAATAATTAATCATAAAGAAATAAGAAGAGATTTCTATATAAATCAAATGCTGTGTTTGAACTTCCCTATTCTGTCTTCACATTGACCCTTGATCTACCCATTGTTAAGGGACATTGTCAGTGCCTACACAGAGACTCTAAGGTCCCTTGTGTTGTTTGTTGTGCATCTCTTTCCCCAGATTCAGTGTGTTTCCCCTTCTCCCTCCCTCTCATTTAGTGTCTTTTTGCCTCCCACAACCCTAACTGAATCTCCTGTAGGATCAGGCTAAAGCTGCCCACCCAAGGTCTTTTGATAAAATTACACCCTTTCTTGGCTTTATCCCCTTCTCTGTCTTGCTTCTCCCTTTCTCTTAAGAGTTGCTTCTTGAGATAACTTTCTTGATACATCATATGAAACCTCGTCTCAGGGTCTGCTCCTAGGGAAACTAACCTAAGTCCCATTTACTGTCCAAATATTAAGAAACAAACTAAAAAGAAAAAAGAAAAAGATCTTGCCTTTTGCATGGAAACAACATCATGGACGAGTCAAAAGACAAATTAGAAAAACATATTGGGAACATGTGACAAGTAGTATTTCCCCTAATATTTGAAGACTTCGTAAGCAAATCAATTCAAAATGACTCAAGTCTAACATGGGAAAAGGATATGAACAGAAAATCACAGCAAAGAAAACATGAATGCCTCAACTTTTTTCAAAATAGAAGAAATCATAATTACAGTGATAATGGGATGCCATTTTTCGTTACTCATATTGACAAAGACTTTACAATATATTATACTACTGGGTTATTTAGGGTGTGGGGAAATAAATAGTACCAGTTTTTAAAGCAAGTGCTAACTGGATAATGTCTCTTTAAGAATTAGAATCACTATCACTCTTTAAAATGGACATGACCTACCTTTTCAAACCTTATTGCTCTCTTTCCCATTTTTCTTTTTAAATTCTGTATATCATTCTGAACTTGTTTACTACTTGTTTATTGTCTGTTTCCTTCCACTAGAATGCAAGCTTCATGAGAACACAGCCCATTTTGTGTGGTTTATTACAATATCCTTCATGCCTACAGCAATGTTTAGTATGTATTAATGATCTACTAACATTTGTTAAATTGCTGAATCAATAAATTAACTGGCACCTGTGGTATAGTTTGAAATGCCCCATTGATCCTAGAACATCTCAGTATCTTTTAGCAAAGTTTGAAATTCTCAATTAGTCAATCAATGAAAACACCGAGGGAGTCCAGTCTAAATGCAATAACATTATTACAATTATATTAATATATAATATAAATACATTTGTGTGCTTATTTAAGTGTAGATATGTATTAATAATAGAAACTACTACAGCATAAAAATCTAAATGGAAGAAAATTAGTGAAGGAACTGGACCAAGAGAGCAGGACATTTGAACTCGGTTTGTGGGCCAGGAAGGATCAGGATCATGAAGTAGAATTTAATTAATTGCTACCGAGTGGATGCCAGGCCTTGGCTGCAGTGTGGGGAGCCTTACTTGGGGTGTAGAGATGATAGCCAGGGGGATTCTCAGGATGGAGTACAGAGAAGAAACCGGAATGGAAATCACAGCAAAGGACTTGGAGGGTACATGAGAACACCTGAAGCAGAGACGCGAACACCAGGCCTCAGAGGAAAACCGCAGGCATCAGAGCAGCAGGCGCGTGAGGAGCAGGTTTGTCGCAGCCGCCTGGAGACCCGCGAGCCCCAGAGCGCAGGCGCGCCAGGGATTGTGGGAAACCCACGCCATTGTTCTGGTGGGCAGAGGCCAGTGAGGACCCGGCACGCTGAGGCGACCTGTGACAGAAGTAATGCGGGGTGCCCAACTTTGCCAGTGTTAGGAGTGTGGAACGGGACAGCATGAGGTGGGAAACCATCTGTTCCTTCTGGTAGTGGCCACCCTGGGTCTGGCTCATTTGCTGCACCAGCCACACTTGAGTGTAGACAGCGGCTATGAGAGACTGGGGGCTCCTGGGCACGGTGGGCTTTTAGCCAAACCTCCGGATTGGGTCCCTGGTTCCAGCCACACCTCTTTTGGCACTTCCTAGAGTTTGCTCTCCCTTAAAAGCTAAACTTAATCTAAAACTTTGCAGATAGCCAGAAACATCTCAGGAGCCAGCATTTAGGTGGAAGAGATGGCTGGAGCTGAAGAACCCACCTGTCCTCAACCCAACTGGTTTGGTTTCCTCACCTGAACTGCTGAGCTGAGCCCCTGCAGGGCTTTGCCAATGGATGAGATATGGTTCTGAAACCTGAATCCAGGCGATGAGGCTGAAATTTGATTGGCCTGAGGTAAAAAGCAGTTGAGTGGCATCTGGAAAATGGGGACAATACTTGTGCCTACTCATGGGGTGTTAATAGAATTCGATGAGTCAATATATGCAGAGTGTGTAAGAGCGAGAGAAAGAATAGGAAAGAAAGGAAAGTAAAAATTTTAGTGACTGTTCATGTTCAGCTCTCTTAGATTTAGGACTGAGGCTAGATTCAAGCTAGTGCCCTTTGTCCTGTCCTCTCTGTGCTTTATAGCACGAAAATTTCTAGGCCGGTACTAATGGACCCACACTTCACAACTTGGTCATTGTGCTTTTCTGAGAAAGTTATATAACAAATCTGACCTTCAATTAATCACTGTTGGCAGTCAGAAGGGGCTGTATATCACCAGGCATGTAAGATTATCATAAATTATTCAAATTTACCTCTAATTTAGGTAAAAGTTTTATTTCTTAGTTTAAAGGACTTCATAGGTTCTCAGTTCATGATGTCGAAAGTTTTTAAATAGGAATAGAACACCTCCATTTTCCTGATCACAATTGCATAAATTAAGTCAAAATATAAAACATAATTGCCAGGCTAACACCTCTAATCATTTGGAGTAAATAGAGCAAAAATAGTTGAGTTAGAAAAAAAATTAAGAAATGAGGCAGCCATTTTGTTAAATTCATATAAACCAAAAAGAGACAGGTAGTTTCAAGGAAAGAGTAGTGAACTCGGGTGTACCTAAATTCATACCTTTGAAGATATTTAGGCCATGATCCTTAATTCCTTTTTTTAATAGGTCAATTGTAACAGCAAAGTATAATGGTTAATTATACAAGTAGAAAGATTTCCCTCATCTACATACTATACCAAATAATGAAAACATGCAGTCTCCCTTCTCTAGAAAATGTCTTGCATTTGTTTCATATTGTTATCTCTATAATGCTAGTGACTTTCCACTAGATGGTAGGGTAAAGAGCAAGAGCCTTAGAATTAGCTACAACTAGGTTTTATAGCTTTGGGTTGGTGGGCAAATTATTTTTTCTAATGCTTATTTCCTCATTTGAGAAATGAGCATGATAATTCTTACCCCAAGTGTTCCTGTAATATTTAAATGTTATAATTGATTGTTTAATGAAAATCTGTAAATGATGTCATAATCAATTGTCTGATTTTAGAGATATGGTAGAAAATTTTTCCTGTTAACACTGTCTCAATGAAATTGTAATGAAAATATATTATCTTTATTTTAACATATAAAATTATAACATGGCCGGGCGCTGTGGCTCACGCCTGTAATCCTAGCTCTTGGGAGGCCGAGGCGGGCGGATTGCTCAAGGTCAGGAGTTCAAAACCAGCCTGAGCAAGAGCGAGACCCCGTCTCTACTATAAATAGAAAGAAATTAATTGGCCAACTGATATATATATATAAAAAATTAGCCGGGCATGGTGGCGCATGCCTGTAGTCCCAGCTACCCGGGAGGCTGAGGCAGAAGGATCACTCGAGCCCAGGAGTTTGAGGTTGCTGTGAGCTAGGCTGACGCCACGGCACTCACTCTAGCCTGGGCAACAAAGCGAGACTCTGTCTCAAAAAAAAAAAATAAAATAAAAAAATAAAATTATAACAAATATCATACATTTGGTTAAAAGAAACTAGAGCATTAGTAAAATGTTACTTATAGCTTGGATTTTTGAAATTGTAGTTATTACATATTAAGAATTAAAAGCAAATTACAAGCCATACAGAACTGAGTAACAACAATTTTTTGGTCAACAATAAACATTAAGTAGCTAAGATGCAACCTTAGAAAACTCACTGATCTGTAATTACATTTACAACTGAGTATGTGCTTTTGAATTTTTTCTTTTTACCTTTGAAGTGACCTTGGTTTGTTTTTCAGCAAAAGAGTAAGTCTTATCCCACCTCAACCTCCTGCTTGGTCCAAACTCCCAACCTCATACTTGGTTTATACTCTTTGAAATTCTGATGCAGAACAGCCTGCAATTCTAATAAATTTTCCTGGGGATTTTCATGGCTAATTTCACAGATCCTCTGAGAGTTCCTTCCTTTCCTGTGCCTTTTGCTAGTTGGTGAGTTTCAATGATGGGTGTCGTTGAAACTCACCCATCCTGTCATCAACTAGCCGGATTCTTACTCTTCTCTTGTTCTAGCACTGAATGCCTGTTTTTCTTTCTCAGGTGAGAATCATAGGGCATTCCTGTTTTCCTGTTTCTGGCTAGGAGACAAACACAGCTACCTGGTTTTTTCATCCATAAGGATAAATGTGCTTAGGTTTTTATGGAGTAGTGTAGAGGGACAGAGAGAATTATGAATATGAATGCATCTTTAGAATGTCATTAAAAGATTGAAGTTGCAGTTAATCTTTGGGGAGATAACATTTATCATAAATTTTTGTATATTCTAAATGTATTCTTTATTTTAATATGAACAATAATAGCAATAATGGTCATACTGATTGCTTATATCTTGTGGATGTAACAACATGCCAAAGTAAGTGGGTTTGACTTTGATACTGAGAAACTATCTTGTTAACTCTTGCTTCTTTGATGTTTGGTAAGTACTCTTCATTCTCATTCGTGAAATAAAAGCACAAAAATCCTGTTTGGCCACACTGATGGATAACCACCAAACACTGTAAAAAAATCTGGATTCTATATTCATAAAGTAAATGCTAGCTGAGTGTGGTGGCTCTTGCCTGTAATCCTAGCACTTTGGGAGGCCAAAATGGGAGGATTTCTTGAGGCCAGGAGTTCGAGATCAGCCTGAGCAAGAGTGAGACCCCATCTCTACAAAAAATAGAAAAAATAAGCCAAGTATAATGGTGGACCCCTATAGTCCCACCTACTCAGGAGGCTAAGCCAGAGGATCACTTGAGCCCAGGAGTGTTAGCCCAGTTGCAGTGAGCTATGATGACGCCACTATACTCTAGCCCAGGCCACAAAGCAACATCCTGTCTCCAAAAAATACAAATAAAAAAATAATAAGAAGTAAATGCCACTTATATGTCACTTACTCTACTAACCCAATTTAAAAAACTGAAAACTTTTCAGAAAAGCCACATTTTACAAATTGGAAAAATATTTCAACTGGGCTGAGGAAAGGAATCTTGAAGTCTGACCTTGAAAAGGGTGTTTTCTTAGTGGACTCTATGACAAAGATGCAAAGAGGCAGTTTAAGGAAATATACCCTAAGGCTTGAGTCAGTTTGACATGCTAATCAAGTCATGATCCATGAAGACTTCCTTCTGTAGGTTCCTTATCTGAAGTACAGTGTGTGGTACTATTCACCATTAACAAGGCACAGCACCATCATCAGATTTGGCTCCACTGCAGTATGAATTTGCTGAGTATTTCAGTTTTAGTTTTTAGGTTTTTGTTTTTCTAAGAGATGGGGATCTTGCTATGTTGCCCATGCTGGGCTGGATTTCAACTCCTGAGCTCAAGCAGTCTTCCTGCCTCAGCCTCCCGCGTAGGTGAGATTACTGGTACATGCCACCACACCCAGCTTGCAGGGTATTTCATTTCCATCAGAACAATTCCTTACGGGCTCACATATTTCGATTACTTTTTAAAAAAAATTTCTTAGAAAAGTTTGAATGCTACTACGTCTGTGAATCATTAGGTGGTCCTGGGTTTGTGTATTGATAATTAATTTTATCAATCACTGTGCACAGACTTTTGCAATTTAATCTCGATCTGCAGGACACACCACCACAAGCCACACCAGTTTTAGTTATATTTATTAAGGGGGAAGAGAGAAAAGGAAAATAAAGGAGACCTATTTACATAGCACAGCAGGAGAAGAACATAAAGGAATAATCATACCACTAGGATCCCATTATCAGCCTCGGAATTAACCATCACGGGGAAGCTGCAGCACTGAAGTTAACTATCATGGGCAAGTCTCAGGCAGCGGTGAAGGCAACAACACGCTGGGATATCAAGCAGGCAGGCAGCTGCACGTCGAGATGTTTAGAGGAATGGGGGCGGCCTCGGCGAAGAAGCAGCGGGCAGAGAAGCGGCTCAGGGACTTTCTTTTACTGTTTATATAGTGGTCTAAACAAAGAAGGCTCAGTGCCAAAAAGGAGTATGCTCTGGTCACGTAGGGTCCCGGATCTGGCCAGGAGCCAGGACCTGCAGGTGACTGTTTTCTCATAACAACTCTGGGCATGAGTCTAGGATAAGCACTCCCAGACAACCTTGGATAAGCATTCTCAGGCAGTCTAGGATAAACACTGCCAGGCCCATAGCCCAGAGTTATCAATGCCCATTCCCTCAAGAAGTGGCCCGCTTCTCCAGGGAATGGGTGCATACCTCGAGCCTCTTAAATTTATATGATCCCAAGCAGGCCTTAATATTCTGTACTTCAGTACAGCTTGTCATCTTTTTCTGATGCTTTTCACTACCTTTCATACAGAAGGGGGTGTGGGCAAGGATGATATTATTAATAATAGTAACAGAAAGCACTTATATCTATTGGGTGCTTTCTATGTACCAGTGTAAGAGATAAAAATGACTTTCCTCTCTTACA